TTTGTGTGTGTGTGTGTAGTGTAGTGTGTAGTGTGTAGTGTGTAGTGTGTGTGTGTGTGTGTGTGTGTGTGTGTGTGTGTGTGTGTGTGTGTAGTAGTAGTAGAGAGAGAGAGAGAGAGAGAGAGAGAGAGAGAGAGAGAGAGGTCATTGTATTGCCCCATTTAACCTTGATGGGTTAGCCATGTTTCAGTGCAAGGACAGTCTTTGGGTTACAGAAATGTGAATCCCTTGCTGGAAATTAGGAAAGAGAAGAAGCAATGTAAAATCTATTCGCACTATGAAATATGGGTCGTGCGCTAGCTGCGAAATAGCCAAACAGAACATTGAATTGAACACTTACTACTCCTTGGATTTCATGTATGGGTGAATCAGCAAGTAGGAGTCTTCACTCTTCAAAGAAAACATTTTGGGGTTTTCTTTTTTTTTTTCTTACGAGTTGGATGTGGGAGGGAGGGTGCTTCACCTCTTTGAAATGCATAGTCGAGTTCAATCTGCACCACAGGCGCTGGTTTGGATTTTGATCCCAGGATGCATATGTTGCAGTGGGTTCATGGATGCCGAATGAGAAGTTTCATGTCACCCCTTTTACGAGAAATGAAACCACATAAAAGTTGTCCAATTACAAAACCAGACAGACCAAAAGAGGAAAAAACAAGTGACGTATCGACTGAAAGATACAAATGGTGATGGTGTTGATATTTGTATGGACCGAAATACATGAATAATATTCAGAGAATTGCAAACCTTTCATGGTTCCGGTTAGTGAGCCATCTCATTTATCCAAATTTGCACAAGAGAAAACAACAAAAAGACAATTTGGTCAGTTCTGGAGAAATCAAATGTGACTTGTATTTGAATGGGTGTTAAAAACAAAAATTTGGGCCAGTTGTTGTAGATTAAAGAAGTCATTGGATATAATTTCAGTCATTTCAAAATAAGAATAGTGATGTATTTTCAGTTACCTGGTGATTGGTTACAGAGTTCGTACTTCTTAAATTTCTGAAACTATTACATTATGCTAGCTCTTTCTCTACTTTTTAAGATGGTAAGATTTCCTGTGCTATTGATATTTGTCGCCTTTCCAATAAAAGGTGCTGAAAGGAACGTGAATGTTACGTAACAGAGTGGATTAATGAGTTCCCATCTGTTTATTCTGTCTCGTCTCTTGAGGTTTTGGATTTGGACTTGTACTCTGAAATAAAGCAAAAAATACAGAGAAACACAAAGATAGACCGAACAAATAGAAAAAAAAAAGAATAAAAAATTGAACAACCAAATAAGGTAAAGAATTTGATGAAGAGAAAATGAAACAATTGATAAATTAAAGAACCATGATGCATGGATACTTCAAATGAGTGCCACCTATGTTGGGTACTTCAGACGTACATGTGAAATCACAAAAAACTGATGTTATAGACAATATTCACAGCCATATTTTTGCATAATAGTACGTACAAATTAGGCACTTAGGATCATTAAGTTCTCACCCCTTCTTTGGAAATGGTTATCAAGTTGAGAAATGTTTTAGATCACATCCAATAATAATTTTGAATATATTGCACCTTTTTGTCCTGCTCCCTTGGTTGCAGGTTCAGTCCCGCTCCCTTGCTTGCAGGTTCAGTCCCATACTTCCCAACAAAGTAAACGATCAACACAGAGCCCGTAGTACTGCTGTTTTTTTTTTCTCTTCGCCTAGGTTGCATGTTTATGTATGCATGAATGTCTTTGAATGAGGAGATACATTTGGAGATATGCTCATCTATATGCATATGGTTTTTTTGCATATTTATATGCATCCAATTTATTACAATTTACATTATGTTTATGCATATATTGTTTGACTAATGCTTCTGTTGATCATAATCATTAATAAAGGTGCAGGAGAGAAATGTGATTTGTTCAAAGGAGAGTGGATCTATGACCCATCTGGACCACATTATACAAATGAAAGCTGCCAGGTAATTGAAGATCATCAGAACTGCATGAGCAACGGGAGACCTGATTCAGGTTATCTTTATTGGAGGTGGAAGCCCAGTAGTTGCAACTTATCACAATTTGATGGGAAGAGATTTCTAGAGAATATGGTAAATAAGAGATGGGGATTTATTGGGGACTCCATTTCAAGAAATCATGTCCAGTCGCTTCTCTGTCTTCTTTCCAAGGTACTTCCTTTTTCCTGATCACTGTTGTAACCTAATGGGGTCCCTCAACGATGTGTTTGGCGTTTGTTTCTGGTCAAATACAAAACCAGAGAAAGTCATGGAATCAAACACTTCTTCTTGGTTTTACTTTGGTTCAATTACACTCACTGTATTGAAGTGTGGAGTGAAACTTTGTTCAATTACATTCACTGTATTGAAGTGTGGAGTGAAACTTCGTTTTTGCACCCCACTCCCCCATCAAAAAAAAAACAAAAACAGGAAAAAAAAAGACACACACATATGCGTTAACATGTTCAGCCATCTCTGTTGGTAAATTACTGTTATTGCTACATTTTCTGTGACATAGATTCTTGTACAGTTTTACTCCTTTCCATTTTTGCTTTTCTTTGATAAGATTAGCTTGGTTTACTAGTAGGATGTATTTTACCAGTAAAACCTTGATCTTCCCCATACAAACAATGTGTCATTCTATTGTTCCTCTGGCATTTGACCTGCCCTTGACTTGGTCTGAATGTCCGTTTCTTCAACCTTCTGATGGGATATCAACCAGGCAGTTATGTCTTCTCAAGAATTCTTTAAGCAAACATACCATGATTTTGAGACAAATTTGGGCTTCCTCCACATTGTAGTCAATTCCAAATCCGGAAGCTTCTCTATATTCACCATCTGGCCTTTTTCTGCAAGTTAGGTCGTTCCTTGGCCATTGGAAAAGGAAAGAGAACTCTCTCTCCTTGCATAACGCCCTCAATGCCCTTTTCTTCATCCTCGATTGGGCTGAAAAGGTATATGAATGGAAGTATGAGAAGTATCTACTGTTCGAGGCCTCCATGAAAATAAAGTCGAAGGATGGCATGTATGGGACTTTCTGTTGTGATCCACTCCAAATCCTGATGGTGCTGGAGGCTTCCAAGATGCTCCCATCTAGTGATTTTGTTGTTTCCATTGACTTACCCCAATACCTCAAAGGCACCAGGTTTTCTCGGTTACCTTTGAAATCAGATCCAGAGTCGAGTAAAGATCTGGCTTCTCGGGGCCCATCTATTATTTTTGAAAGTAAGGGGACGATCCAGGATCAACTGCCTTGTCCTTATGCTCTAATTGCCACTGCTTTTGTCCCTATGGTGGAATTTCTCCTGTGGATTTGGTTCTTGTTTTTCTTATTGGTAGCTCTGTAATATGGAGATGTGAGCGGCCTACATACTGCTGTGGAGCCTCCATTGGCAACATTTCTTCCTTGGCCATGGGCAAGACGTATGCAATTGTTTTCTTATGACCTGTCTATGAGGAACGCACAACATAATCTAGGGAACAAGTTACCAGAATCATGGGCTATAAGCTGGTTGATATGTTTTCTTCAGTCTGTTGAACGAATGGAGCCTGATACGACTTCAAAACCAATGATTGTTGTCCTCTCTTGACTAGGTATGTTGTTTATGGATTCCACAATCATTTGGAACCTATTCATGTTCTAATACAAGTCCTACCCTAGCTTAGAATTAATGACCTGTACTGTGCCGTTGGTCCAGGTGAGCTGTCATTTTTGTGTAGCCTTCTCTCCTTGGAGACGTTGGGTTTTGTGGCCTGCAAAGGCCTTAGTGTCCATGTACCTTTTTATTTTGTTCTGAGTGGGAACATATTTTGTAGGGAACTGGGATGAGGTATGATACCCATCTGGGCTTAAGAGCCAATTGGAGCTTATGATATGGTTTGAGTGTGTGTGACCTATCCTAGATGATGAGGTGTGACTTGGAGCCTTCTTTGAGGCATATTAGAAGAGTAGATTTGGAATGCTTTATTGAAAACCATAACTCATCCCATGTTTGGTGGTCTAGGCCCGAGAATGCTCCACATATATATATAGCTATGGGCAAGAAGCATATGGCTTATATCATCAAGGAGGGTTCTTTGAGTTTATCGCTCATCGAGGTCGAAGGTGTGCCCAATGGTGAATGGCCGAGAAGAATACACATTTATTCTCGTATGTGTATTGTGAGGCTTGTTGGGGCAAGGGACAAATCCTTGACATACTGATCCCGCAGAATGTGCAAATGATAGCTACATTGGGAAGGCATGCTTCTTATGAAAAAGGGCATGCACATGTGCTGGAAAAGAGTGTAACGGTTTTGCCCATTTGATCCATTAGCTCATAAGTCTTTGTTGGATATTACTTGTCCTTAAGGGGGCACCTGAATCCATGGTCGATTCCGTAGTGGGGACTATCTATTGGCCAAGTTTGATGGACCGAGCATGAGCCCCTACAATTAAGACTATGGTCATAAGTTCCATTGTGTTGGTTTAGGAATGTGGTGCGAGGTCTCCGGAGTAAGAAATAGGTAGAGTGCCTTAGCTATGAATGTATATGTGAACAACTTAACACTGAAAATTGGAATTTTGATAAAACAGTGATGTCTAGATATTTTTCATAATTTTATAAATTTTTAATCAAGCCTTTCTATTAGAAATAAGGGGTTAGTAGTTTTGCACATGTGGCAAACTGAGGCCCCAATGGCCAAGGGCTTCCACATGGGGTCCATTAGGCTACATGGGTGGGATATGATATCCCCTCGCCACCTTCTCTCGTCCATTGGTGGTGATGTCGTCATCCTCTCGCTCTCTCACTCACACACTTGGATCCACCACAGTTATGAGAAAAGCCCTTATGCATGGGCATATGTTAGTTGGTTACGGATAAGGTGTGAGGGTGGTTTTGAAGATGTACTTCACATGGGCCTTGTTTGATAACTTTTTCAGTATTTCACTGAGAATTCCTGAGACTTGGGATTCTAGAAACACTAGGAAAGTTGGTGCAATCACTTTCTCCAGTTTGATAATCTGGCTGGGAAATCGGAGCACTTAGATTACCTTGTTTGACAACATGTTTGAAAAATTGGTATTGTCAGTTTCATACGGGGAACTGTTTTATTCAATAGTATGATGTTAAAGGTCATTGTAAATTACAAAAATTAGTGTAAATCACATGGGGAAATTGTCTATTTCATAAATTATCAATTTATTGTAAATTGATGTTAAACCAAGTTCTTGCAAGTTACAATTTATTGCAATTCAATTTTAAAATTGTTTCTTGTTTTTGGGGGGGGGAGGGGGAGGGAAGTATCATACACTTCACCATCATGGAGTTTCATACTTGAGGGTTCCAAAAGGGTTTAATGTCACATTGCACGGGAGAGACATTTTTAAATTTTACAAATCTATATGGACTCATAATTTGATGCCTATCAAGTTATATTATGATTTATTTGTGTTAATATGTCATGCTTTATAGTTTGATACAATTTATCTTAATTGTTTTTAAATTATATTGTAACCTCACACCCCAAATTGTATTGTAACTTTGTTGCCTCTTTGTTATACTCAAAAAATCCTATTTTTTGAAGGACAGGAAATCTGGCACCCCTTACCTGTGATTGGGCAACGTGGTTTAGCATGCTCATATGGAATCCAAAATCAGAAGCCTTGAGAAAGAATAGACCAACAAAGTGCGTAGGCATATTGTCCCTCGTTTGTGTGCCTTTTTTTATGATGATATGGCATTATTCTTAGGGTTGTAAGAGAAACTCTGGCATGTCTGCTGTTTGATAGCAGTCTAGGATCTGCATCTTGACAAGAGGCTTCTCTAGGCTGTGCTATATGGATAGTGACTCTTTAAAATGTGATACGATGGCTTATTAGTGGAGGCCTGGAGGGGTTTTTGGGAAATGCAAGTTTGTCAAGTTTTAGTGAATCTTGTCATATTTCTAGAGAGGCAAATGATATGGCTGATAGACTAGCAAGCACAGGTGTTAAATAAGGATGGCATTGTTTTGTGGGAGGTTTTTGCCTCCCATGTTTTATGTATTTGGTTCCTTTTTTGGGGGTCTTTTCTTATTCCATTTATTCTGTTTTATTCTAATTCCAATTCTCCTTTGCAATAATATATGATGATAAAACAAGTGAGATATATGTTAGTAATATCTAGAGTGGGGTATGAATAACAACGAGTTTGACACTTAGACTAGACTTTTTACTTGCAAGTAGTGGCCTGTTTTCATTCTTTCAGGGTAACCTATGGTTCATTTTTTCTCTTTCTGATTTTTCCATGGAGAAAGTGTATCTAATTTTGTAGTTACAGTCTGTAAGATTCCTGAATTATTTTCTGGCTCATGTATACATTTTTTGGAAGTGTTAAATTGTTGAATCAAGTGAGAAAGATTACCAGAGATTTGGCAACCCACAGACCAGGTGCTAAATTACAGAAAACCTCTTAGGGGGCTCAAAAAGTGTTATGCATACAGTATATAGGCACCAAAAATAGATATACAAAATATGGGGCTCAAGTGCTCAAAAAAATTCGCAAAAGTCCTCTGCATATTGTACTTTGTAGCTCCCCCTTTAGCAAGGGCATCAGCTACTGCATTGGCTTCCTTCCAGGTATGCCTCCAAACAATGTGAGTATGCCTGCAAATATGGAAAATTTTGTCGCCATTACATTCTTAGAGTCCTCCTTGATAATCAAAGTAGGGCCCCGGTTTGGAATGTTGCTAAGGCCTTCGAGGAGGGCTATTACCTCCATGGTATGGGAGTCAGTATGTCCAATGAAGCGAGAGAAAGAGAAGAGGTTACAGCTGTCCAAATGAAGAGGGTATAGCTGTCCTTGTCTCTGAAGATGCCCCCTATGCCTGAATGGCCAGGGTTACCTTGGGAACAGTCGTCAAAGTTGAGTTAGGTTGGCCAATCTCAGGTGTTCTCCAAAATGAGGCACGAGGGATGTGAGTGGGCTAGAGATTCAGCAAAGCCAGCCAATTTTGGTGGAAGTCTGACAAGTAGCAATGTTTGAACAATACACTGTATTTTACCCAGAAGGTGATTGAGGATTTAACCTTGTCCTTTAAGGCTTCGATGGCTGCCTTTTCTCGCGAAGGTCTATTGTTTCTCTCCATCGAAGTCACCCATAGTGTGGCAGCCACAGAAGGCCGGCACAAGAGGATACCCAATTTTGACCATGGTGGGGAGAGGAAGGACCGAAAGAGATGTGGGATTGATGGCAGTCACCCACAACCAATTGATGAGTTCAAGGAGGTCCCCCAAAAAGGGTCCTTGCAAGGTCGCAGTGGATAAATAAGTGAGCATTGTTCTCTTCCTCAATGGTGCACATGATTCATCTATTTGGTATCTACAGTCCCTTCTTTGAAGAGGATTGACGTAAGGGACTTTTCGGATATTGCGATCCAGCTGAACACTTGAGCTTTGGGAGGGACGAGAGGGAACCAAGAAGCTCTGGCAGCAATGGAAAGAGGTGATGCGGGCAAGTTTGGGGGCATATGAAGTTTGTGGTAAAAGGAGGAAACCGAGAAGATGCCTTAGGGGGGGGGGCTGGCAACCAAATGATATTATCGGTACTGAGGATTGGGAGGAAGGTCATCTGGAGAATGGAAGACAGGGCCAAGAAATCTAGCAACTCATGGTCCGCCAAGGGCCTTTTATAGTCGGGGTTCTGCACCCTAATGGTACCCGTTGTTTCAAAGTTTTTGGCCACCATGGTCTAGGGGTTTCTAGCTAAGAGGAATAAATTGGGGAATCATTTCTGCAGTGGGGAGTGGCTGATCCACAGATCTGACCAGAAATGCATTCTGTTACCCGCCTGAGGCCAAAAATGCATGTTGCCTTTGAAATGGTTGTAGCTGCAGAGAAAAGATCTCCAGTCCTGATTGATTGCTGGTGGCTCTGCCACTAGGAATCAAGGCTGAATCCACACAGTGGTACTTATGTCGTATGACATCTCGCCAGAGGTGGTTTTCTTAGGTTGAAAAGTGCCAGACTGTAGATGTGTACCCCTTCAGGCTAATGCATACATTAGTAAGTAGATTTTTCAGAGATGCTGTTTGTACATTTATTTGTATTTTATTATATTTCAAATTTTATGCAGAGTTCTTTTGGTTTAGAAAGCCATCAATCTAGTCTTTTTGTTCAGCGTATTCTACTAAAATATAGGCCATTCTGTAGAAATAAACATGAAATAATATTTTTCTAATAAACCAAAAAGAAAGGATTTATAATCTATTCAATATATTATTGATTGCTAAACGTACAATACCTGTTAGGAGGTGTGAGATATTTTTCTAGTAAACCAAAAAGGAAGGATTTATAATATATTCAATATACTATTGCTTTCTAAATGTACAACAACTGTTAGGAGGTATGAGTTGGTTCGAGTGGAAGGCTCAAAGAGGGAAATGGGTAGACTGAAAAAGACATGGTTGGAAGTAGTGAGAAAAGAAATGGCCACTTCTGACCTCACAAAGGGTACGGCCTTTGATATAGCATAATGGTGCGCCAGGATACGAGTATCCAAACCCAGATAGTTTTGAAAAGGCTCTGATGATGATGATGATGAATGCTAAGCAATACAGTAAAATCAGAAAAAAGAATTTGGGTTAGGTACTTTCATCTCGCTTCCTATTTATTGGGTAGATTGGTGAGGATTGGACTTATGTCTCACGTCTTTCTTTGTGAATCTATGTTTCTTTCTGAATTTGGCTTATCTTTAGCCTCGATTTCTCTATGAATATTCCAACTCGATTCTTGCTTGGGTCGATCTTCCTGATTGTTGTGATTTTCTTGACTCCTTGGCCTTCCTCACGAGTCAGAAAAGCTCTAGTCCATTTTGCATTAAAATATGGGCTTGTTTCTTTTCTAACTTCTGACAACATTTGGCAAGGATTCCTTGTATTATATTCTTTATAAAGGTTTTCATTACTTGAAACTTGATTTGATGCTATCTTGGTAATTGGTAGAGATCAAGCGGAAGTCCTTTCTTTGTGATAGTTGTCAATGATGGCATACATGTCAAGTTCTTGCAGTTTTTGTCACAAATTTTAACATATATATGCACCTTTAATGACCGACTTCCTTTAATCAGCTCTATTCTTGAGCTATTTCTTGTGCATTTTTTCTTTTAGCAGGGTTGGGGGTTACAATTATGTTTAACGTATCCATAGAATTTTTATGGCATTCTATATGATTGACTTCATTTGAAATGACTCCCGCTTGAAGACACAGTTGTCTTTGTTATGCACTGTCTGGATAATTATTTCTTCTATCAAAATATTTCTGGAGCTACGTTGGGAATGTGACTAATTTGGGATACCCAGAACAAGCCATACCCTATTGGTGTTTCATTCTGCAATATGGACTGAAGTTTCCTAGGAATTCAAGGTCGTAAAAAAACTAAGATTCTTCTGATTTTGGAGGGCTAGTTGACAGCATAATTTGGTTCTTAATGTGCAAGTTTCTTTTTATTTCATAGGTGGGAAATTTTTTCTGCAGAATATAGCATAAAGAGGACATAAATTCTGAGAAATGTTGACACAAAGTTGGCTCATAAGCTTGGAATTCTTTTCATCCTTAGCTATCAACAACTAAGTTCTTAAATGTAATATAGCTGGAATGCTGACATCATCTCTTTGTTTCGCGGTAGTGATCTGGTGTTTAATCTTATGCCATGATTACTATCGGTGATGGCTGCTGGCTAAGTTTGTAATTTGAATGGATGCTCCATCTTGGAAAAATTGTATCCAATTGACATTCTATTGTCTTGTTTCTCTATTGTTATTGTTTCTTGTGGTAAAAAACTCCCAGTTGCTATGGGACAAATTACCTCTTATATGCTGTAATTCAGTTATCACTGCTTTTTTTCTATGACTTTGTCTTGGGATTGTGGAGTCCTGAATTCTTAATTATTTCACACTGAAGTATATTATCATAGTTGCTTACGTCATAGCCTTGTGCAAGTGTTTTGCTTCGCATTTTTCTTTTCTATTCTCAATGTTCGTTAATGTCTGTGCATCGGTGTCAAGGTTTTCTTTCGACGATTTACCTTTTGCAGGGTCCATGTGCTTTGGTAGAGCCAAATTGAAATACGTGCCTCACTTCCTATTCTTCTTTTGTGCAATGGGATATCTCGTCATTTGGTTTGCTGCTATTTTATTGCTTTCATTTTGTTATTAACATTTAGAAGTCAATGGAGTGGGTGCTGGTTTTGAAGCTTAAGGGATTTTTGTGTGTTCCCATGTTAGGATCTAACCATCTGTAATAAATTTCTTTAGCTTCATGTGTCCTGTGAATGAATAGGATGTTGCGTTGTAGTTTCTAAGGGCACAGCACAAAATTGTGAGTATCCACATCATGGTATCCATTCCTACCGCTGACACCGCGAATTAACACTTTCAAAATGTAACTCCTCAATCTATTGAAAAAGGGTTGGGGCCTGTCTTCCCAACTGAATTACCCAAAAAAGAAAAATACTGGAGGAGCATTCTAACCATGGTTTTCCTTCTTCCTGTTCCATGAATCAAGGACAACTAACACAAAATTCAGCATATTTTTTTTCTGACAAGGCTAATTGGTTCAATCTCATGTGTTCTTAGGTAGAAAGTGCCACTGAGATATACCATGACGAGGAATACAAGTCAAAGACATGGCACTTCCCCTCCTTCAACTTCACTTTAGCCGTCATTTGGTCTCCTTTCCTCATTAAATCTGTGAGTTTAGAAGACATAAATGGGGTTTCAACTTCCGAGAACAAGCTCTATCTTGATGTTCTCGATACAAAATGGATTACACAGTTCGACAGCTTTGACTATGTCATAATCTCCGGGGGAAAATGGTTTCTCAAGGCTGGTATATATTTAGAAAATAACACAGTTGTTGGTTGCCATTACTGTCCAGGAAAGAACTTAACTGAGCTTGGGTTTCAATACTCTTATGAAAAAGCACTTAAGTTAGTATTGAACTATATTATCAATTCTAATCATAAGGGGCTCATCCTCTTTAGAACTTCAACACCTGATCATTTTGAAAAGGGGGAGTGGTTTAGCGGGGGAACGTGCAAAAGAACAGTGCCATTCAAGAATGGAGAGATAAGTATGACTGATGTGGATCGAATACTGCACAGAATAGAGCTCGAAGTATATGAGAAAGCTTTAGAAGAAGGAACAGCTAAAGGATTGAGGCTTGAACTAATGGACACAACTCAGCTTTCATTGCTAAGGCCAGATGGGCACCCCGGGCCATACAGGCAGTTCTACCCATTTGCCAAAGATAAAAATGCCACAGTTCAAAATGACTGTTTGCACTGGTGTTTGCCTGGGCCCATAGATTCTTGGAATGATATTGTTATGAAGATTGTTCTTGATGAACGGCGAAGCCGGTAATTGTTCCAATATTTGCCTCTTTTTGTGTATTTGTCGCCATTGGGATTCAAGGATTTCTAAAGAAGATCAAGATGCCATCAACTGTATGAATTGTCTTTTGTCCTCGAGCCATGGCAATTGGCCCACAATCAATTCGAGAACTCAGCGCCATTTGAAACATGGGCTTGGAGCAGCAGGCAAGGGCGACTGTGTTTCTTCGTGCTGAACCTGTGTAGTGATGTCTCTTTTTATATTTTATGTTTCTACTGGTGATGTTTGTGTTAACAAGGATCACGTAATCTTCTGAAGCGGATGTATTAGTAGATGGAGCACTAAATGTCATGCAAATATTTTTATGCTTCTTTTCTATAATCTGTGCAATGTCATATTTGTCTTGGTAACCATGTGCATACACCAGGTGTTTTCTTCTTTTTAGATTGCGCTGCTCTCTACTCATTCATCCAGGAAGGTGAATTTCATGGATGGATGGGCCATCTTTGAAATTTGATGCAAACTCATCTGGACGAGTCCAGTTTTAAGGAGCAGGGCTGATTTTCCACGTCCACCCATGAAAAATCTGCATCTTGATGTACATCAATACTTCTATCAAACATTGACCTGTGTGCTAAGGGGTTCGACCACGTGTTTGTGTCAAAACTTCTAAAAACTGATTAATTCTGTCAGTGAGTGTCCAAAATCGTTTCCATGTTTTGACATGACTTAACTTGAAAAAGTGGCGTTTCTTGTTTAAAATTTCATGAAAGTTGTTTCAACTTTTTTTTTTTTTAACGAGGGTTTACTTGAGCCATTAATTAAATTAATTATTTATTTTTGGTCTTTTCTACGCCTAGTGATCTCATCTTGTCGTGATTTGCGCATTCATTTGTTGAACTCATTATTTTTCTTCATATTATAATGAAAATCGCATTGTTTTGGGAAGATTCAGGAATCAATTACTTCGAAATAATTGGCCTGGATCTATATTGGACTACGCAACAATGAACGAGTTAAGTGCGTAAAAAACGAGTATAATAGTACAAACTTTGACAAACAGCACCCAGGAAGTATTCTTGCATAGGGGTTTTTTTTTTTTTGTTGCAGTGAAGGAAATATCAGGCGGTTCAAATTCTAAGTGCCAGGTCAGACTTGGTTAGATCAGAATTTGGGTCGTTTGGTGAACCGGCTGGGTATTTAAAAAAAATTAAAAATATTGTATACAATCCCATATATTAAGGGATTTTGTTTGTAATATATTTTTTAATGTTTTTCATCATTTTGGCAAAGATTGGAAATTGTTTTGGTCATTTATACTTATTTTTATATTTTTTCAATTTTTTTTAAAACATTTTAAAAAATACCTCTCGGTACAAATCGATTTCTAAAAGTCTTTTTTTTCATTAATTTTCAACTTTATTTAGATGTACTTTGTTTAATCATACTTTAAATATATTTTGGATATTTTATTAATATTTTTTAACACTTTTTCACCGTTTGGGATTTGCCCAGTTAGGCTGGTTGCACCGATCAGTTTACCCGTTAGGCCAATTGAACCACTTTCAGCCTCATGACCGATAATCCATACCGATTAGATCGATTGAACCAGTTAGTTTACTGGTTAGACATGTCTGTGCATTATAGTTTTAAAGTCTCAATTTTGAAAAATTATGCACTATAATGCAATAATGTGCCATGAATTTGTCTCGGACAACATCTATAACTGGCCTTTCTTTGTTTGGACGTCTGCGTACTTAAGGTACCACTTTACTGGAGACGATTTTCAGGGTAGATGCAAATTCATGAAGGAACTTCACAGTAATTTGCACACGTGTCCTCATCAGTATCTTCATGGTCTTGAGATTACTTCATCACCTCATGGCTCATGGACATGCTCTTAAATAGAAAAAAGATCTACAGGCCTATAAATCACGAGAACATCTCAAAAGAACAGGAAAGTGAGTTAATAACTTCGGCCAAATATGACTCTCCTTACATATGCCTGCTAGATTTCGTCAAGAATGTGTTTTATGTGGTCAATCAATATGCGGTTATGCCTGTAAACCACATCTCTCAACAATATATTATATTAATTGCAATTCAATCCAAACCAAGGTCAGATATGTCAGTTTCCTAAAATTAAACCAAGGTCAGATATGTCAGTTTCCTAAAATTTTATAATGATAAAAATGTGAAGAATATTTTGTTACCTGAAAGAATGTGCTAAGGAGAAGCTTTGTATAAATCATAGTTTTAATATAATTAATGGACTCACAATCAGGGAGCACTAAAGCCCATAGCCCTTTATATATCAATGGCTCATATGGAACCTACCCAAACATGCCCCTTTAGATGGGTGGGACATCCAGCCGCTATTTAGTTCAACCTCTAAATTTTTGGCTTCTACTCATTTTTCATTTGCATCATATAAATAGTAACTACATTCATAGTACAAGAGTACCAACAAAATTGATTCAAGCAAATACTATTTAGTTTCCAGAAGTATGGAACCTCATTGCATATATGTCAAATGGATTTAAAAGAACAAACCCCAACTAACAACAAAAGAAAAAAATAATGCAATCACCATGTTTAACAATACACATATAAACATTAATATGTAGAACATTCAAATGAACTAGAGAACTTAAAGCTAATAACATAAAAAAAAAAAAACAAAAAGCAGTGACACACTAAAAGAGCAAGACAAAAAAAAAACAAAATATAGTAACAAAACATTCATCAAAGCCTTCAAAATATTAAGTGCCAAACATTCTCATACGAAGCTTCACAATGCATTAAGCATAAATGCACAACGAGCTCATTTTGAGACCTAGAAAATTAAGAGACGTTTTTCCCCTTAACCATAAACAAAAGAAAAAAAAAAAAAAAAACAGCCATTTAACAAAATTGAATAGGAATATTCTCTGCATTGTAAAAAGTATTAATCAAACAGAAAATAATCCACAGTCTAATATGCTTAGAAGTAAGCATAACTTGTTCTGAAACCTAGAAAAACCAAGCTAAATATCCCTTAAACCATACAAAATGAAAGAAAATAATGGCATCTAGCAAGATAACTTGTAAATGCAAAGTATCGAACTACAAGAAGGATTTTGAAGCAGAATACATAGAACAAGACTTATCAAACCTGAAATTCATAAACCAAAATAAAAACCCTACAAATCATTACAAATACGTGGGTTTATTAAGACTAACAAAAAAATAAAAAACAGTGAAGACTTAACTTATTACTGTATAGATAAAGCAAAAAAAAAAATTTACAGTTTGTTTTCTATCACATAGCTATTCCATTAGGGGCCCTCTCCCCACTGACTCACCCACCAAAATGAAAATTTTTGACAATGACCTGGGGCCATGGCAGTAGTATTATCGAGCCCCATGGTGAGGTCTCTAACTCTATTCTCACCAAAGGGTAGGCGCCCAAATCCCCTCTGACTTACTACTTTTGAGAATGGCATAGGGCCTTGGTGGTAGTATTGCCAAGCCCCAGGATGAGGTCTCTGACTCCATTCTCACGAAAGGGTAGGGGCCCAAATCCCGACTGACTTACCACTACGAGAATGGCTTGGGGCCATTGCGGTAGCATTGCTGAGCCTCATGGTGAGGTTTGTGACTCCATTTTCACCAAAGTGTAGGGGCCCAAATCCCCACTGACTTACCACTTTTGAATTACCCAAAAAAACAAACAAAATATTGCTCAAATAAACCAAACAAAATAAATTTACAGTTTGTTTTCCATCATATTGCTAGTCCATTTTTTATTGAACGAAAGCAAAATATTGCTCATATAAACTAAACAAGAAACATAGAAAATGATAAAAAACAAAAAAAAGCAAAAAAGTATGGAGCCATAAAACAACCAAAAACATAATAAAAAATAAAATTAAAATACTGATTTAAGTTAAAAAAAATAAAAAATTCTTTCACTACCATAGATCGAGCCTTAAGAACTTCAAACCATTATTCGATTTCATAATAAAAAATAAAAAACAAATGTAATGGAATAAATATGGAAATGTAGCAATATCTAAAAAATGGGTGCAGTAGGCATACATTGAGGTAAGGTGTGCCTTCAATTTTATCATGGTATATAATTTTGATGAACAATATTCTTAAAACTTACTCAAAATTTAGTTTTATATCTAATTATAAAATTTTAAATTTAAAAAATGGTTAAAATCAAGTAGATTTATAAACATATGAAAATATTGAAAATGGACAGTGTAGTTAATATATTGTAAAATGCACTATTTCTGAGACTTAAAATCCTTTTATTTTTAATGGTCATACATCTCGATCTTTAGATGATCAATCAAAGGGTTTTTCAATATTAAAAGTACCTTTTGATAGATTTTTGAGGTGCATCCGTAGCTCTACATTATAAGGTTGCAATCTTATATAAACTTTTTCCATAAAAAATACACCAGTTAGGGATATATCCTCGAGAAAAGATAAACTTAGTCTAAATATGTTTGCATTGATAAATTAAATAGGAAAATATGCTGCAGTGACAAAAAATGGAGGCTTAAGAAAGGGAAAGTATCACACCAAAAGCCTCCAAATATGACAGAAAATGGCACAGAGGGTTTCTACACAAAAAATCACTGTAATGACCGAAATTGGAAGAGGGATTGTATATGAAAAACAATTGTAATGGCCGAAAATGGCAGAGAGGTTTGTATATAAAAAATTATAAACGATGCTGAAACAAAAATGACTGAATTTTTACCTAAAAAAACCCAGAGAGAGAGAACTAACCAAGGGAGAGAAAAAATCAAAGAGAGAGAGAGAGAGAGAGAGAAACCAAGGGAGAGAGAGAAAATCAGGGAGAGATAAAAGCCAAGGGGAGAGAAATAACCAAAGAGAGAGAGCGATTGAAAATCAAGGGGGATCAAGAAAACTAAAGAGAATACAAAAAACCATGAGAAAGAAAAATCAAGGCTTCTGAGATATACCTTGTTGTAAGGAGGCTCGTCGGTGATATAGGAAGCAGCAAGAATAGTCTCTAGTCTCTCATCTTTGTGGTTTTATTCTATGAGGCTAGTGTTAGGTTTGCGACTAGGGTTCCATCGGTGAGAAGTTCTTCACCACGAGGCTTCAATCCTTTTTTATCGGGAAAAAATTCCCTTTCTTCATCGGCATAAAGTTCTTTTTTTAACTTCTGTTTAAAAACATGGAACTTTTTCTAAACCTAAAGGGGGAACTTCTACAATACTAATAAGTTTTTATAATAAACTTACATTTTTTTATCAAACATAAAACTTTTATAGTGACATGTAAGTTCCATCTTCTAGTAAAACTTCATGTTGTCAAACACACACTAAAAATAACTTTCTCGAAGGAAGTTCCTTTTAAGAGGTTAA